TCATACAATGCATATCTCAAGCCTGAGACTGCAGTCATTTTTCCATTTCATTAGGCAATCTCCTAAAAAATTTGTTTGGCTAAAGTATTTTATTCCATATTTTATATGCTGTAAACAAATATAACTCTGGAAAAACAAATGGGTGAGGCCTTACTAAACTAGAAAGTTCACTAGCGTGACCAGACAGCAAGTATGAAAAATCAGGACGGGGGTGGGAAGTAATAGGTGCCTATATAAGAAAAAGCCCCAAATATCGAGACTGTCGCTATAAACTAGGGACATCTGGTCACCCTAAAGTTCACTCTCTTTGGTCTGTATGGTTTGTTTTTGTATGAAAATAGATTTTGCTTTAATAAAGGAACAGGATTGGATAAGTCAAGAGTTGGTAATGATATATGGAATCTTTCACATCTAGGATGAATGATCTAGTGATTAGGGTGCTAGCCTGAGACTTGAGACCCACGTTCAGTTCCCTGCTTCACCATAAACTTCCTGTATGATCTTGGGCAGATCATTTCATTTCTCTTCCCTAATTCCCCATCTATAAAATGGGGATATTATTAATTCCTTGCCTCACAGGACTGTTGAGAGACACTCAGATAGTAAAGGGATGGACGCCACACAAGTACTATAGGTAGATCTAGGTTGTGATGGGATGTATCCCCAGGGTGAAGCCGGGAAGCTGTTGTAACCGCTGTGCTCCCCTAACTATTCAGCTGGGTTGGCCTCTCCCCTGCTCTGCTGGCGAGACACAGCCAGTCCCTCTGGGTCCTGTTATCACCCGACACGACAGCAGGTGGCACCACACACCCCACTAAGTTACCTGAGTGCTTTACCTAAGCCACTCATGGACCAACAATGGAGGCACCAGCCAATTTCCCAGCACCCCAGCATTGCACGCCTATTGGAGCATAAACACAGAATTAGACCATCTTGCACTGCACTGGTATCTGTACTGGTATCTGTACAGTGCAAACTCATTAATTAGTCTGTTCCCCCCTCGCTGTGGGGAAGATATGCCCCAGCCTTTGTTAACAGGACTAAGATTCCCAAAAACTTCGCTCAAAACCACCCTAGTTAAGATAAAAAATAAAACAGGTTTATTAACTATAGAAAGATAGATTTTAAATGATTATAAGTGATAGCAAACAGATCAAAGCAGGTTACCTAGGAAATCAAACAATCGCACTCTAAGTCTCATACAAACTGGATAGGATTTGAATCAGCAATATCTCACCCTGACTGATGGTACAAGCAGGCTCACAGAGTCTTGATGTGCAGGCTGCATCTGCTTTTCAGCCTGGGTTCCCCTCAAAGTCCTTTGTCTTCCATAGGTTCTTTCAGGTGTTGAGTTGTGGGGGAGTGAAGACCAATCAAGATGTCGCTCCCTGTCTTTTATAGTTTCTTCCAGTTTGCTGGAAAGTCTATAAATGTGGAAGGGTGGGGTCCACTTCCATTGGCCAAACATTCTCCATTGTCTCGGTGCTCCCTGGGAGGAGGCTTCCTTATGCAGGCTTCCTGTGTTAGTAGATTCTTCCCTTGATGGGTGTTGATGACAGAAATTAACACTGTCTGGCTACTCCATTGTTGTACCTGAAAGGCTGGTTTGGGGTATTTCCAGCTTCACGTCATACTTTAGTAACTCCCACATAGCAAGATTTCATAACTTCACATACAATGATAGCACATACAATCCAACAAGATATTAATGTTTAGCAGATCAAGACTTTTAGAATGATACCTCACAAGGCATACTTTGTACAAAACCTCTCATAATTACATCACCATGGTAAATATGGGGTGCTTTGGGGTGCAGAGTGCCATATAGGTTACAACTTCAAATCCAGTGGGAGTTTGTGAAAGCTATCACCAAGTGATGGCTGACAGGTGCCCTAGGTGCAATGAGATGGTGGCTTCAGTTCAGTTCCTATTGCAAAAACAGCATCAAAAGGAGTGGAAGGATTATGTTATGGTTAAGGACTGGGACTTGAGAGATTTGTTCCTGATTCGGCAGCAGACTTCCTGAGTGACCCTTGGCAAATATTTAACATGTTGATACTTCAGTTTCCCAGTCTGTAAAATGAGGCTGATAATACTTTCCTATATCGTATGGGTATTGTGAGTCTAACTTCATTAGGTTGGTGTGATGCCCATACACTGTAGTTGGGAAAAGCATAGAAAAGCCTATAAATCAGTACAACTGGTACCCTTCTTGGCACAGAGGCTACAGACTAAATAAAGACTGAACTAGAGTTCACAAAGACTCTTAGAGTTCATCCCTCCATATCACAGCTAGGGCTTTTCAGGGAAAGTTTTCACTGCTGTTACACCGTGGGTTCCATTAACTAGCCAGCTAAGCCCCCTTCATTTGCCACATTGTATTTCTAGCAGAGAAATAAAGATGGAACCAAGACACGTCGCTGTTATTTTGTTTGACTTAAATGTTTTCACAGCCGCTTAAATGGAGAGCTTAAGCACTATAACCTAATGTACCCTTAATGCAAAGTGGCTTGCACCTGTAAGAGGCTGTAACTTAGTGTTCGTTCTTGTTGAGTAGATTCTGCTGCTTGTAAGATGTTTGGAACAGAAATACCATGAGTTGGCCAAGAACAATCCAGCAGGATCCCAACTCCAGCCAACCTTTTCCAATTAGCAGTGGAATGTGACAATGTTTTCCATGCCCACTTAGGTTGGGTTTTAAGGTCAGATTAGCTCTGTCAGGCTATTTGTGTAGCTCAAAATCTGTGTTTATACAGCAGGTCGCTCCCTCGCTTCCCTTCTTGAGATGTAATAGTAATGCCACTGCTGATGCATCAGAAATTTAATGAGATGTGAAATTTCAAGCTCCTAGTGTTTGGGCAATTGTGTGTTTTATGAGCTTCTGAGACATGGCCTTGGAAGAGGTCCTGTGTACCAAGTTCTGCCTGCAGTCAGCACATGCATGAGCACAGTTACTCTTGAATTCGGTGGGGTTTGTGCAGGTGTCTTCAAGGGCATCTTGGTCCTTTTGTGTGAGTTTGCCATTACTCTCGTCCAGTGCAGCACAGCCCCATCGTAAACACTTTAAGTATCTTTCGTTAGAGGTTCTCACAATACTGTACAAGCAGTAAAGATGTGATTTACCCCTTTGGTACAGAGCTGACTCGGGACACTAAAGGGGATTTGGGGCAGGAAGGAAATCAAATTTATCTGCACAATCCAGGGGTGAGCAAAAGAGCTGAATAGCCACATGGAGTGTGTGGAGGGAGTGGAGGATGGGGAGAGGTGTTTTAAATAACTTACTTTATGGTGAAGTATAGGAGTAGAGACATGGCCTAAAAGTGAAGTCCATGTCAAGCTGGGTTAGTGCATAACGTGCAGTCAGTCTCTATGCAGGACTCCCCTTGACATCAGAGGGAGTTTGATCAAGCAAGGGGTTATCTTCTGGACAGGGCTTAAATTCTCAGAGTATTTCCCAGAGCCCCCACCCCCATTCCTCATGGGAGGTGCCTGGAGGCTTGGGGGCCCCCTGAAACCAGCTTGCAGCCCCCCCAGGGGACCCTGGACCCCCAGTTGGGAACTGTAACACCATCAGACAGGAGTCAAGTTTTTAAAATATTTACCGGTGCTCTGCTCCAGTCAGCGCCAGCTGAATTTAAGCCCTGCTTCTGGGCGTGACAGCCTTTTAACCTGTGTGCTCATAGGGGAAAATAAGCCATTATTCCTTGTGCAAGTTCTGTTTTTCTTCCGATTGCCACCTGTTTCTCCCTCCTCTTTATGTGTTTAAATCAGTCCCAAGGTGGTTCCTACCAGCCCTTAAAAGCCTGATATGTAAAACTGTGATTACCCTGGCACCTGAATTGGAACTTTTGGTAAGAGAATTTTTTATTTTATTTTATTTTATTTATGTAGCACCAGCTGCGTGCTAGATGCTTTACAGACAAGCGCCCAACCAGAGTCCTTGCTGTGAAGAGGTTACAATCTTAGTATTTTAATGATGCCTGTTTAGTCTTAGTTTATTTTCCTTATCTGTATGTTAGAAGAACTCAGTGAGATCTTTCCCATATTAGGGAAGGCTGATGAGAGGAAGGATGGCCTTGTGGCTAAGGCACTGGACTATGACTCAGGAAGTCTGGGTTTCATTCACAGCTGTGCCACAGACTTGCTACATGATTTTGCACAAGCCACTTAATCTCCCTTTGCTTCTGTTTCCCATCTGTCTGGTGGAGGTAACCCTGCCCTTCCTGTCTTGTCAGTTTAGACTGTAAGGGAGTGTCTCCTACTATATGTATTTACAGTGACTAGCACAATGAAGTCAGCTGAAGCCTCTAGGCAGTATTGCTGGAATTCAGATAATATTGGAAACCGTTTTAATTGCTACCTTGCTAAGATAATTTATGAAACACTTCTAGGCTCCTGTCTGAAAACAGCATTTTTAAAAATGTTATTGCATCATTGAACAATACTGGAAACAAACATCCAAAACAGTTACAAAGAAAACACAGTATTTCAAAACACCGACCTTGTCTGTTGTTATCCCATTAGCCTCTGACTTGGTTTATTTAATTTGCCTTTTTGTCACTTAGGATTTGTTCTTTGAGGGGTTTTTTTTATTTGAAATTTGTGATCTCATAATGTATTTACCAATTGTTTTTAGTCTAGTGCTTTTATAAACTGACAAACTAGTCCAAACTCTCTACTAGTGCAGCTCCATAAACTTCAAGAGAGATGTGTCCACTTTCACCAAAAGAGAATCTGGCCCTTAATCTCTCCCTTGTTTGAAATTTGGAAACCATTTTTAGGGCCCAGAAGTCCCATGAGGGACGTGGCTGTGGAAAGAATACCGGATCAGGCAATTCTGTTTCAGCTCGGAGAGAACTGTTTTGCTGAAACCCCCCTCTAAAAGCTAATTGCGTTTTTTTTTCAGTTGGAAGATGTGACTGAGGATGAATCAGTTGAGTGCAATTCCCTGAATTTTCCCTGGAGGCTATTGCCGATGTTCTTTTCTCTTTCCCCCTCAGCTGGTGAATCGATACTTGTATTCGGGAAGTGCAGACAAGACGGTGAAGTGCTGGTTAGCAGACACTGGGGAGCAAGTCCAAACATACAAGACTCACAAACACAGCGTTAGCACTTTGAAATACCATGCAGGAATCTGTAAGTTGCCTTTCCCCAAATTTTGTCTCATTTTCCCTGCTATTTATGGATGTTTTTCCTTTGATTAAAAGTTAATAATAAAGGTAACATTATAGTTGTGAAGTATCA